CTGAGATTATAGGTGGGATGCCTGGCCCTTTTTATTTTAATTTTGATACAGAGTCTTGCCAAAGTGCTGAGACTGTCCTGGAACTTGTTATTCTCCTGCTTCAGCCTCCTTCATCACTGGAATTACAGATGTGCAACACCACTCCAGGCATCAACAAATATCTTGAGTGACAATTATTCCCAGGCACAGAGTTCAGCCCTGTGCTAAATAACATAGGAAGAACAGCAGCCTTACAGAGCCTCTATCTAGTAAGGAAGATGGACTGGTCACCAGCCGATTTTTTTTCTTTTACAATATTGGGGGTTGCACCCAGGGGCACTCTACCAATAAGATTCACCCCTAAGGCCTTATTATTTTCTATTTTGAGACAAGGTCTCACTAAATTGCCCAAATTGACCATGAATATATAGTCTTCCTGCCTCAGCCTCCTGAATTGCTGAAATTACAGGTGTGTGTCACCATGTCCAGCTACCAGACATTTGTTATTACTTGGCTCCAAAATGAATCTAAACTCAATTCAGTTAATAACCCTTCTCATTCTAAAGATACTGCTATGGAATTGTGTTTTTTTTTCTTGTTGTTGTTGTTCTGGGGATTGAACCCAGGGGCACTCAACCACTGAGGCACATCCCAGCCCTGCTTTATATTTTCTTTAGTTGCTGAGTGCCTCACCATTTCTGAGGCTGGCTTTGAACTTGCGATCTTCCTGCCTCAGCCTCCTGTGCCACTGGGATTACAGACATGAGGCACCACAGCTGGAATTGTGTCTTTTAAAATACAGTCAAGGGCTGGGGATGTGGCTCAAGCGGTAATGCGCTTGCCTGGCATGCACAGGGCGCTGGGTTCAATTCTCAGCACCACATAAAAATAAAGATGTTGTGTCCACCGAAAACTGGAAAATATTTTAAAAAATCTCTCTCTCTCTCTCTCTCTCTCTCTCTCTCTCTCTCTCTCTCAAAAAAAAAAAAAAAATACAGTCAAACCAGCTGCGCATGGTGGTGCACACGTGTATTATCAATGTCTCAGGTCCCTGAGGCAGGAGGATCAAGAGTTCAAAGGCAGCCTCAGCAACAGCAAGGCACTAAGTAACTCAAATAGGGCTGGGGATTTGGCTCAGTGGTTGAGTTCCCCTGAGTTCAATCCTGGGTTGCTGCCCTCCCCCCCCCAAAAAAGGGATGGTGGCTCATGCCTATAATCCCAGTAATTTGCAAGACTGAGGCAGAAAGACCATCAAGTTCAAGACCAGCCTCACCAATTTATTGAGCCTATCAGCCACTTAGCAAAACACTGCCTCAAAATTAAAAGAACTGGGCCTGAGCACAGTGGTGTATGCCTGTAATCCCAACAATTTGGGAGGCTGGGGTGAGAGGATTGCCAAATTCAAGGCCAGCCTCATGAATTTAGTGAGAGTCTGTTTCAAAATTAAAAAAAAAAAAAGGACTGGGGATGTGGCACAGTGGCAAAGCAGGAGAGAGAGAGAGAGAGAGAGAGAGAGAGAGAGAGAGAGAATATGAACTGGGAATATAGCTGTGGTCAAGCACCCCTGGGTTCAATCCCAGTACCAAATAAGTAATAAAAAATATAGGTAGATAGATTTAATTTAATATAGTTAAACAAGATACAGAGGTGCACACTGGTTATCCCAGTGATTCAGGAACCTGAGACAGGAGGATCACAGGTTCAAGAACAGCCTCAACAACTTAGCAAGACCCCATCTCAAAATTTAAAAATTAAAATAAAAAGGGTTGGGGATGTATCTCAGTGGTAAAACACCCCTGAGTTCAATCCCCAATACAAAACAGAAAGAAGCAGAATAGGAGGAGGAAGGAAAGGAAGAGGAGAAAGAAGAAGGTGTTGAATGAGTAAATAAATGAATGTGTGAATGGGACTGGGTATATGGACTTAGTGTATTGCTCATGATGGTACAGCACTTGTCCAGCATAAGAAAGGCACTGGGTTTCATATCCAGTACTGCAAAAAAAATGCTCATGATACATTCCAAAGGTTCCTACAAACACCCATAGTCTCTCTTAGCACAGATTTTCATTTTGTTTTTGTACTGAGGATTGAACCCAGGGCACTTAACCACTGAGCCACATCCCAGCCCTTTTTATTTTTATTTTTTAATTTTGAGATAGGGTCTCACTAAGTTCCTTAGGGCCTCATTAAATTGCTGAGGCTGGCTTTGAACTTGAAATCCTCCTGCCTCATCCTCCTGAGCCTCTGGGATTATAGGTGTGAGCTACCATGGCCAGCTCATTAGCACACATTTTGCCTCTTTCCATAAGTCCAGGTCTATGCTGTTCTTCCTGGAGAGGGGACATAACAAAAAGTGACAAAAATGAATGAGCATGGGCCTTGTGGGAGCAATGCTAAACCGACCATCTAGAAAAAATTTGAACATCAGGCAGTATGCTCTGGTGAGGAGGTGGGCAGTGCTCTAGGAATCAGGAGAGCACTGTGGGGGCTGGGGATGTGGCTCAAACGGTAGCGTGATCGCCTGGCATGCGTGCGGCCCGGGTTCGGTCCTCAGCACCACATACAAAGATGTTATGTCCGCTGAAAACTAAAAAAAAAATAAATATTAAAAAAATTCTCTTTCTCTCTCTCTCTTTAAAAAAAAATGAATGATTTAAGAAAATAAATAAAAACAATTAAATACATCTCTTAAAAAAAAAAGGAGAGCACTGTGCTATGTGGTCTGAATGTGCACCCCCAAAGTCAAATGTTGAAATGTAATCATCAACAGATGGTATTTGCAGTTGGTACATTTGAGAGGCAAAACCCTCATTCATTGGATTAATGCCCTTATAAAAGACCTTTCTTGCCAATCTATCTTGTGATAATACAGAAAGAAAGCACATGTATGAATCAGGAAGAGGCCCTCATAAGAAATCTGCCAGACCCTGCCAATGCCTGGATCTTGGATTTCTCAGCCTCCAGAACTGTGAGAAACATATTTCTGCTTTTCTTTGTCCTCTGATACTGGGGATTGAATCCAGGGGCACTAGACCACACTAATCTACATCCCCAAACCCTCTTCTTTCTCTCCTTTTTGCAATACTGGGGAATTGAACTCAGGGCCACTTTACCACTTTTTATTTTTTCCCCCATTTTTAAATTTTGAGACAGGTTCTTGCAAAGTTACCCAGACTGGCCTCAAACTTGCAATCCTCCTGCCTTGGACACCCTGGTAGCTGAGATTATAGGCATGCCCCACCATGCCTGACCACTATTATTAGTTACAGGCCACCTGGTCTGTGTTATTCTGATATGGCAGCCCCAATAGACTAGCACAGGCAGTAAGGAGAGGGAGCTGAAAGAAGAAAATCAAATGATGTCATTGAGGAGGAAGTAAAGTTTGATTATTCCAATTTAGTTTCTCAATTTCAATATAATAACAATCACATTAATACAGATTATACATGGAAGAGTCTGACCTGTTACCTTAGAGGTCAAATGCTGATAAGTAGGATACATACAAATACTTCCACCTCAAGAAATTCGTTATTTACATGTGCTTATTATTACAAGTGATTAGTCATTTGTTGGGAATTACAGGACCCTTGGACACTACTTGTCCCCTTTTCCCTGCTCTCACCTCCTGGATCCTGGTCCTCCATTGAGCTTCCCTCAGTCATGCATTCTTTATCCTCAAGACTTTGAGCCCCTGTCCTTGCCTCTGCTTCTGCTAATCTCCTTCATGTACAGTAAAAGTGCTGTGCTCTCCAAGGAGGTGCAGAGTAGTTGTAGGACAGAATAATGACTCATACTTCTCTATTTCCTCCACAGTACCTGGGTGAGATGGAGAAAATTGTACAATATGTATGTGATTGTCTTGTCCATTATGAACTTCTGTAACAAAATACCTGAGGCTAGGTCAATTACTGAAAGTATTCTACACTTTATTGCAGTGCTGGGAATTAACCCCAAGGGTACGCTACTACTTAGCTACATCCCTAGTGCTTCTTAATTTTTTTTTCAGTGAGGGTGTCGCTAGGTTGCCCAGGCTGAACTTGAACATGTGATCCACCTTCCTCAGCCACCTGAGCTGGTGTGTGCCAGGGCTCCTGAATCTGAGACTGGGTAATTTATAATGAGCAAAAATTTATTGACTCACAGTTTTGGAGGCTGGAAAGTCCAGTATTAAGGTGCTGATAGCTGGTGAGGGCCTTGCTGCATCATACCATAATGGAAGAGCAAAAAAGAAAGTAAGGGAGTGAGAAAGAGGAGTTGAATACATCCTTTTCTAGGATACCCACTCCAATGGTAAAGAACCCATTCCTTCCATAACACATTAATCCATTCACATCACCCTCGTGGCTTAATGTGAGGTCCCATCTTCCAACACTGTTTCGTTGGGGATTAATTTTCAAACACACACTTTGGGGGGAAACCCATTCCAATCTCAGCAGTACAACTTAGTGAGATCCTATCTCAAAAAAAATGAAAAGGCTGGGTATGTAGCTAAGTGATAGAGTGCTTCTGGGTGCCAGCAGGTCTGTCTACCAATACCAAGAAAATATACATTTAGAAAATAACCTATGACTAATAGTTTTTAATTAAGACTAATCGTTTTTAATTTTTTTTTATTTTAAAACAAACTTAATATAAACTATTTCAGTCCCTCTTAACATGTATGACACTGACTCAAAATACTTTTATACCATTTTTTCAAGTATTGCACAAATACGTACAAAATTAATATTTACGATTATATTTTCTTCCATAATATATAGCAAAAATCTTTAGACCTTTAACAGAAAATACATTTTTTGAAAAAGCAAATATTTGTACACTTTAATTCTGCCATTAAAGGAATATCTTGTACATAATTTTTAGAATAATTGATATCTTTAAGATGGATATTTTACAATTTCAGTAAAAAAAAATAATACAACATGAAGCTGCTGTTGTCCCAGATCACTGAAGTAAAAAGATATAAATGCAATACCATGTCATAGAAACAATATATATATATATATATATATATATATATATATATATATATATATATATCCTCTGATATTTTACAAATTTTGTACCAAATTAAATTGTACAATTAGAAAAGACCAATAAACCCACTTATTAGTGGTAATTTTTTATAAAAAAAAAATCAGCCATGTCCTTGCTATATCTTACATATTGTAAGAGGCCATATCTGAGAGTATACTTTAAAATATACAGTCAGTATAAAATAACTTTGTGCTTGGTTGGCAAATGAAAAACGATTCATGTTTTATTTTTGTAACCAAGCCTGAATGTATCCTTACTATAAGCTTAAAAAAAATCTCAAGGAGGTGCAAAAAAAGTCCTCTTGCGCCCGTGCATTTTAACTGGTACGACACACTTTTTTGTTTTCTTAGTTAGCCATAACAGGCTGGAATTGCTGGTTAGAATACTGTACGTTATTTAAGCTAAAATTCAAGCCACCTACAAAAGACTTCTCGTTGAGGTCACCATAGACCTCAAGTACATCAAAGGCATTACTGTACTGAAGTTAAGGGGGCTGTCACCTGGGAACATTCCATTAGTACTGCCACCTTGACCCTGAATATTAGGAAAAATAAATTCCTTGGCATTAGGAGAAAGAGCAGAGGTTTTCTGCTGTTGCTGCTGCTGTGGTGGCGGCAGCGGCTGGGATGGCTGCTGCTGCTGCTGTGGCTGCTGCTGGCTACCCAGGCCCAGCCCGTACAGAGAGTGCATTGAGGAAGAGATGGCTTTCTGCTTCAAGAGGTCATTCACATTCAGGCCGAGGTTGATAGCAGAAGTACGTGCAACCTTGTTGCTCCGGCCACTATTCTTCATTTTGGTAGAGCCGAACTTGGTGGCAGCAAAAGTGGCAGTGGTAAAGGTTAAAGGCTGAGTGGACCAGGGCATGAAGGTAGGGCTTACAGCAGCAGAGTGTCCAAAGGGAGGCGATGGAGAGCTGGACACTGAAGAGGCTGGGTCACTTACGGGCATAAAAACCTGGGCCTCTGGGTTAAAGCTGTTTTTTATTTCCTTATCCAACTCACATCCATTTTCATTATTATCATCCACATAAAGCACCTTCACTGGTCCCTTTTCACCAATTTGGTAGGAAACCTCAAATGGGTCGATCCAAACACTAAGATCCTCTGGCAGATTGCTACGAACATCGTCAATGTCCAAACCACTCTCTTTGGATGCTTGTTCAATCACTGGATCCACTTTCTCCCCTACATGTATACATCTAAACCCTGATCCTTTGTAAGGCTTTTCAGGATACCAGTGCCCTTCATATTTCTTCTTAAGAAGTCTTTCAAGCTCTTCACCAAAAATGTTGACACGTCTCCTGGGAAGCTTATTGTACAAATATGAAATAATAAAATTCAGTGCTACTTGGATTTCAAGCTGCATAGCTGCTATGCCACAAAGTTAGGTTTGTTTCAACTCCTTCACCAAAAGAAAAAAAAAGAAAGAAAGAAAAGAAAGAAAGAAAAAAAGAAAAAAGAAAAGTTCAGTTTGTGGCAGAGAAACAAATTCTCATTCAAAGTGCTGGTATTATAGATTATCCTTCACCTTGAGTGGTCTTGTTCGGGCTGCATCCGCCACAGACCCACGGCTGGGCTGCGGAGAAGCGGAGGCAGGGCGGGGGCACGAGAGGGTCGAGGGTCGGGAGCGCCGAGCTGGCAGGGTGCAAGACGTTGTCGCTGCCGCTGGACGGGAACGGAGGCCTCAGGCGGGCCTTAGGAGATCGCCGTTCCTGGCTCGGGGTGGCGAGGATCACGGTCAGGTGAGCGCGCTGACTTCACACAGCCCGATGCCCAGGACCCGCGTCCTGGACCCGCGTCCCGGTACTCGCCCACTCCTCGCTGGGCCAGAGCTTCGCTCCTTCTGCCGCGGTGCGCGCCCCGCCTCTCGTTTTATATTCTCCTCCCTGCCCCCCATCCCCTCCGTGGGGGTGTGCGCGCCCGTTTTGTGTTCATTTTTTATAATCATTGGCAGGCATTTGTTTTCTATTTCCTAGGTTTGTCTGTGAGTCTATGCATAAAGATTCTCAGCGTGAATGCAAGTTTCATGAGCAAACACAAAAATTATAGGGAGATTTCGTACAGGAAAAAGCCAGACTTGAGCCATGTATCCATGAGGATCTAGTAAGGAAGATGTCCCCACATTCTCTTGCCCTGTCAGGTGTGGGCAACTGCTCTTCAGAGAGGGTTTCGTCTGTATAACGAGATATATGAGATTATCAATTTATAAAAAGAACAGGTTTATTTTAGCTTAGTTTCAGAGATTCCAATCTAGATCAGGCAGACCCATTGCTATTAGGCCTCCAGTGGGGGTGCAGGATGTAAATGGTGAAGAGCACATGGCAGACCACACCAGCTCACCTCATGCTCAGGAAGAGAAAAAGAGGAAGGGGTGTTCCCTAATCCCTGTTGGGGTCACATCACCAATGGCCAAAAGACCAAGATTCCACCTCTCATAAATTCCATCACCTCCCAATAGCACCATCCTGGGGACCAAGCCTTTAACAAATGGGCTTTGAGAGATATTCAAGATCCAAACTATTAGCAGGCTTGGTAACACACACCTGTAATCCTGGTGGCTCCAGAGGCTGGAACAGGAGGATTGACAATTCTAGGCCAGCCTCAACAATTTAGTGAGGCTCTAAATAACTTAGCGAGACCCTGTCTCAAAGTAAAATTAAAAAGAGCTGGACATAAAGCTCAGTGATAAAGTGTCCCTGGGTTCAATCCCCCAGTACAAAAAAAAAAAAAAAAAAAAAATCCAAAATATAGAGGTCCATTTACATAGCAACTACAAAGATCCTTTGTTTTCTTTTTTGGTTTTTATTCTATTTTTATTATTTATAGGTATTTTTATTTTTTGATACTGGGATTGAACCCAGGACGTCCCTTCAACCACTTAGCCACATCCCCAGCCCTTTTTAAAATATTTTATTTAGAGACAGGGTCTCTCTAAATTGCTTATGGCCTTGCTAAGTTGCTGAGGCTGGCTTTAAACTCACTGAACTCCTGCCTCACCCTCCTGAGCCACTGGGATTACAGGTATGTGCTACTATGCCTGGCTTTTTATTTTTTATTTTTGTTTTGACTGTCTTTTTTCTCTGAGGAAACAAGATTTTATTGGGGTTGGGGATGTAGCTCAGTGATAGAGCACTTGGCTGGTATGTGGGAGAATCTGAGTTTGATCCCCAGCACCTCAAAAAAGAAAAAGAAAACTTTTTATGGCATGATCTGATGTTGAATGGGAAACATTGGTTACAGTATCCAGGCCTAATTCATGATCTCCTGTAACATAGTTAATTGTGGCCCACACAAAATTTGAGTGTGTGTGTTGCACTGAATTGGAAAAATGAAGGTTTTTGTTTTTTTTCTTCATACTGGGGATATAACCCAGGGGCAATTTGTCACTGAACTATATCCCAAACCATTTTATTTTGAGACAGAGTCTCACTAAATTGCTTAGGGCTTTGCTAAATTGCTGGAGCTAACCTTAAATTTTCAATCTTCCTACCTCAGCCTCCTGAGTTACTGGGATTACTTGTGTGCACCACTGTGCCTGGCTTCAAAATGGAGATGTTAATTTGAAAGGTAATACATTTTGAGGTACATTATAAATAATTATCCCTCAGCATTCAAGGAGGATTGGTTGCAGGAACCCCCACTGATACCAAAATCTGCAGAGCTCAAGTTGCTTTAAAAAAAGGCATAGTATTTGGAGTTTCTTTATTTTTTTTTTTCAGTACTGGGGATCAAACCCAGGCATGCTTTACCACTTTATCACTGAAGTACAATCTCAGCCCTCTTTATTTCTTATTTTGAGACAGGGTCTTAGTAGGGTTCCCAGGCTGGCCTTTAACTTGCAATCTTCCTGCCTCAGACTCCCAAATTGCTGGAATTAGAGGTATTAATCACCTTTTCCAAGAAAACAGTATAATATTGTCATATAACCTATCCATAGCCTCCTGTAAAGTTTAAATAACAATATTATGTAAATAGTTACTATACTACATTATTTAGGAAATAAATTATAAAAAAAATCTGTTCATGTTCAGCACAAATGCAGGGTTTTATTCATTCATTCATTCATTCATTTCAGGGATAGAACCCAGGGTAGCTCAACCACTAAGCCATATCCCCAGCTCTTTTTAAAATTTTTTTTCTTTTAAGACAGGGTCTCACCAAGTTGCTCAGGAGCTTGTTAAATTGCTAAAGCTGGTTTTAAAATGTGTGATCCTCCTGGATTGCTGGTATAAGTGTGCACCAACACACCAGCACAAATGCATTTAAAAAAAAAAAACCTGTTCAGGGACTAGGGATGTGGCTTAATGGAAGTATGCCTGCCTGGCATGTGTGAGATCCTGGGTTCAATCCCCAACACCACAAAATACAAACACATTTTCAGCCTATAATTGGTTGAATCCATTTTTGTGGAACCAATGGATGTAGAAGGCTGCCTGTTCTATTACACAACAAATTGAGTGAAATTTTCATGACAAAGCAGTTTCAGTGGTGAAGAAATCTGTATTCTATAATTGGTTGCACTGCAATTGGAACAAGTGTCAGATTTATAAGAATGGAAGTCATAAAGACGAAGACCTACTGTGTGTTGTGCCTTTATAGATCTTACTAACAGTCCTAAAAGCTCATATGCAATGTAGATATTGTTAGCTTGGTTTTACAAATGAGAAAACTGAACCTTGCAGATGAAATAACATGCCCAGTGTGAAAGTGATAGAGTATTCACAGAAGTCTTTCCATTAGTTCTCTTTACTATATAATAAATTACTCCAGAACTAAGCACCTTTAAACAACTCACATTTATTGTCTACAGTTCCTGATAGCTGGGTGCAGTGATGCTTGTCTGTAATCCCAGCAGCTAAAAAGGCTGAAGCAGGAGGGTCATGAGTTCAAAGCCAGGCTCAGCAAATTAATGAGGCCCTAAGCAACTCAGCAAGACCCTATCTCTAGATAAAATATTAAAAAGGGCTGGGGATGTGGCTCAGTGGCTAAGCACCCCTTGGGTTCAATCCCCAGTACAAAAACTAAAACAAACAAAAACTATAGTTTCTATGCCTAAGGAGTCTGGCCAGAGATTAACTGGGTCCTCTGGCTCTGGATCTCACACAAGGTGGTCAGGAAGGTGCCAGCTGGGGCTTTGATATCATCTGAAGACTTTACTGGTAAAAGATACAGATCCAGGGGGATAGTAGAGGATAGGAAGGGCAGCAAAATACAACATACACTAGTATTGCAGTATGTAAAAAAGTAGATGTGTAACCGATGTGATTCTGCAATCTGTATACGGGGTAAAAATGGGAGTTCATAATCCACTTGAATCAAATGTATGAAATATGATATGTCAAGAGCTTTGTAATGTTTTGAACAACTAATAATAAAAAAAGGATACAGATTCAAGCTGACTCACAGGATTGCTGGACCAAGGGACTCTGTTCCTTGACACATGGGCCTCACCATGGGTCAGTCATAGCATGGTAGTTAGTGTCATCAGAAAAAGCCAACAAGAGGGCCAGAGAGGCTGGGAGTGGTGGTGCATGCCTATAATCCCAGTGGCTTGGGCAGCTGGGGCAAGAGGATCATGAGTTCAAAGCCAGACCTGGCAATTTAGTGAGGCCCTCAGCAATTTAGTAAGACCCTGTCTCAAAATAAAATTTTTGTTTTAAAAATGCTGGGGAGGGGCTGGGGATGTGGCTCAAGTGGTAGAGCGCTCACCTAGCATGCATTAGGCACTGGGTTCGATTCTCAGCACCACATAAAAATAAAATATAGATATTGTGTCCACCTAAAAAATAAATAAATAAATAAATATATTTTTTTAAAATGCTAGGGATATGCCTCAGTGGTTAAATGCCCCTGGGTTAAATCCCTGGTTCAAAAAAGGGGGGTGGGCAGAGAATGGCAGCAACAGGGAGAGAACACTAACATATCACAAGCCAGTATTTTGAAATCTAATCATGGAAGTAACATCCTGTAACTTTTACCACATTCCATTGATTAAAAGTTCGTCACTAGGTTCAGCTTACACTGAAGGGGAGGAAATTCCACAGGGTTGTGATTGTCAGAAGGTGGACTCATTGTGAGCGATTATAGCGGCTGCTGATTACAGTCCTCTTCCTGGCTCTACTGTTAAAGAATTTCTTCTTGTTCTTAGGAAAGAATAGATAATGATTAGGTGGGCGCTATTGGTGCACACCAGTAATCACAGGGATTTGGGAGGCTAAGGCAGGAGCATTGCAACTCTGTAACCAGCCTCAGCAAATTAGCTAGACCTTGTCTCAAAATAAAAAACAAAAAGGACTGAGGATGTGGCTCAATGTTAAAGAAGAGATTGTGATTAGTAGGTATACTGAAGAACTTTAGAGGTTAATAAATTTTAAAATTTATAAAATAGACCATAGCTTTTTTGTTTTGTACTGGAAATTTAACCCAGGGGTGCTCTACTATGAAGCTACATACCCAGCCCCTGTTTTAAAAATATTTTTAGTTGTAAATGGATATTTTATTTATTTATTTTATTTATTTTTATGTGGTGCTGAGGATCAAACCCAGTGACTCACACATGCTAGGCAAGCACTCTACCACTGAGCTACAACCCCAGCCCACTTTTTATTTTTTTAAATGTTTTTAGTTGTAGATGGACACAATACCTTTATTTTGTTTATTTAGTTGTTTTTTTTATGTGATTCTGGGGATTGAACCCAATACTTCATGCATGCTAGGCAAGCGTCTTACCACTGAGCTACAACCCCAGCCCTTATTTTTGTATTTTGAGACAGGATCTCACTAAGTTGCTAGGACCTCAATAAGTTGCTGAGACTGGCCTCAAACTTGCAATCCTCCTGCATCAGCCTCCCTAGTCTCTGGAATTACAGCCATATACCACTGCACTTGGCTAGAACATATATTTTTTAATTAATGAAAATCACTAATTAAGACAAATTATATATGTATACACAAACATATATATAGTTATCATAGAAAAAGTAAAATATGTGATGGGTAATTTTATCAAAAGTCATGCATGCCCTGTCTTGAGAGGTAGTACAGGCTGGAGGATCACAAGTTTGAGGCCAGTCTGGGCAACTTAGTGAGACCCTGTATCAAAATTTTAAAAAATTGGGCTGGGGATGTGACTCAAGTGGTAGCGCGCTCGCCTGGCATGCGTGCAGCCCGGGT